TGGCTCGGGGCTGGAGGCACCGGCCGGACTCCTGGGGCCGGGAAGCACAGGGCGCAGGCTGCAAGGAAGGCGGTGGCTGGGCTTCCGACACCTGGGCTGGGGGTTCGAGGGACTATGGGCCCTGCCGCCTGGGTTGAGGTACTAAATGGCAGCTCAGTTCGGGGAGGGAAGAAGGGACGCCCCGGGATCTCCAGAGCAGGCCGGGCTGCGGGGGCCATGCCAGGGAGACCCCGGGTGCAGCCCGAGGGCAGCTGGCCTGGGACTGCTGGGATCCCTGGGCTGGGACGCCTGGTGAGGGGGGTAGAGGGAGGGACAGGGGTGTGTGTTGGGGGTTACCCCGGGGAAGCCCCCTGTGCCCCCTCCCTCTGGAGCCCTGAACTGCTGGGCCCTGGGAGGCCCTAGGGGAGTGCCGCCAGCGCCTGTCCCCAGGGCGCGCTGGGGAGTAAACAGGAACCGGGATTGGCAGGGCAGCTGTGGCTGGCACAACCTGTTACCTCGCCCTGCCCGGGCCTGGGGAACAGGGCTGGTGCCTACACTCCAGAGAGGACGGCTGAGCGGCTGGGCACCCGAGTTCTGAGGGGTGAGGAGCAAAACACCTGACTCCTGAGAAAATGGGAGAACGGGGCCAGGATACCTGGGCGGGCATCTGAGTCCCCAGGAGCTGGGTGGGCACCTGGGCTCCTGGAAGAGGAGGGGCTGGATTGCTGGGGGCTGAGGGTCAGGACACTCCGTTCCCAAGGCCCTGTATTCTTGGAAGGAAAGGGTCTGGACTCGCACCTGAGTCCTTCGTCCCTCGGAACCTGGGTTCTGGGAAGTCTCCCAGACGGTGAGAGGCTGGGAACCAGAATCCATCTGGAGTCTAGAAAGAGGGAGGCAGGGAGTGTGGGCACTGGGACAAGTCGGGGGCAGAGAATGTCTGCTAGAGGCAGGCGGCAACCCATTCATTTCCTGCTTCTCCCTGCCTCAGTTTACCCTGGGGGCATTGACTGAGCTGAGGGGCCAAGACACGGATCATTAACCCTTCGTGGTACAGGGAGGCCCTTGGCTGAAGGACTGGGAGGGCCGGTGGACAGGTGAAGAATTAAGGGAGGGCCA